TGCCGCAGAGGGGCACTCCTCACCGCGCATATGGTGCCGCAGCACGGATGCTGAGCCCAGTCCCCTTCTTGGAGGCTTGCTGTACATCTGATCCGGCTGGATCACTTTCTTTTTGCGTCCTTGGCCCCGCAGGAAAAGAATCACTGTCCATTCTTGAGTCTTGAACGTAGTCTCTCCTTCTCTCTTCAGCTCTGGATCCAGTAACAAACCTCCAGCCTTTACGTTGGAAAGTCTTTCAAAAGCCCGTTCTCTCATACATGGAGTCTATCCCTCCCTTATCTTTCTCCTCCTTCTTTAGCATTCCTTCATTCTCTAATCTACTGCTGAGTCTCCTCTCCCCTTGATCTTTTATACCCTCTTCCCATACTGACACTTTTAGCTCCTCCTTCTTTCCTCTTTCGCCTTCCTCCACCAGACAGACTTCTATCCTCCCCTTTTCTTCTTCTGCCTCTTTCTTTTCCTCTACCAGTATTTCTCTTTCCTCAATCACCTCTCCCTCTCTGGTTCCCTTTTCCTCTTTTGATGCCTCTATGGGTGAGGATGGCTCCCTATCCTCCTCCTTTCCTTCACAGAGGAAAACACAGAAGAGCTGTACTCCGGCTTCTCACAGCTAGTATGAGGAGTCCTCCACTTGAAAGTGCCCTTAGGACAAATCAAGCTGCCACTTGATCACATGCATGCAAAGCTGAATAGAGATACGTGTGTGTGTGTGTGTATAGTGGACCTGATTCTATAAGAGGAGCACTACCCATTCCAAACAGGTTGAGTTCACCTGTCTGTTTAAATTCCGATGAGGAGAAGCTCTGTCTTATCTGGATGGTCATTTTCTCATCCATCCTGTTGCTGCCTCCAGATAACGATTCAAAATATCAACAATTTGTAGTTTCACCACAGATAACCTTTATGAACCTAAAAATGTGTTTATATATTTATGTAATTGAGTGGAAAATTATTTGCTGTTTTTGAACATCTGTGGCTATTTTTTGCCAGTAAAAATGTCTTTGAACTTGCCTTTATGCAAATCTCAGTAGCAACTGAAACTCGAGGAGGTATTTCTCAAGTTCATGGCTTACAGTAAGGCAAGGATGTCTTTTCTTCTCTTACCAACATAATCTCTCCAGGCATATAAATCTTTCAGTGATACTGCCTAAGATGTCAGACATGCAAAAGGAGCCATGCAATCCCCTCTCCCCCAGTTGACCAATTACAAACCAAATGTTAATTTGCCAAAAGTAGATGGGGGAAAAGTTTGTGTTAGAATAAACAGACTGTCTTTTGCTCTTAAGGGAGTTCCCCTTCTAATGCTGTGGTAACTGTACCCTCTAGTCTGCCCAATACAAATTGTTGTCTTTAAGCCCGTACACACATATGTCCTCATACTTAAAAAAATGAATTTGAAATTATTTTACTTTAGCAGTCACTTTTAGAAGCAGCTGGTTTACATATTTTTCTCTGTGGTTTTCTAAATATTTGTTCGCTGCAGCCTCTCTCTCTGCCCGTTAGATGTCAGTAAAAGCCAACTGCATCTGGAGCAGGTATCCCTGCTTTTACTTTCCCCTCTGACAGCAACAGCATGTTAAACATAGATTATTCCTGCACTTTAATCCCCAACTGTATCTGTGTCTAAGCTGAGTCGCTGTAGGAGACAGCAACTAGGAATGTCCTGTAATGAATTATACTGATAAAGCAGGTACAGTGCGGCAAATGCAGGAGAAGTCAGGAGCTGCATGCAAACGGTGTGGGCTGCGCCTGCAATGCAGCACTGTCTTATATGAGAAATGTGATCAGACCGGTTTTAGCATTAGACAAGAGTCATAATAATATGTTATCTTCTGCCTCCCTATTACATCCAACCACTACTGTGAAACTATTTGGCTACAGGTTAATTTAAGCTATGAATTCACTTACATGCAAGGCTGATTCCCAAGTGCCAACACTTTGGAATGATTATTGCTATTCATGATTCAGCATTCCTCACGTATACAAATGACAGAATGAAGCACTTAACCTAGCCTTCTGACACAGCATCTGGTCACATTTTCAGAATAATGACAATTAAACAGGGTTTGGATAGGAAGACAACCCATGTTATCAGTGTTTGTGAACATTACCGGCTTTAACAGTGCAGAAGATGATTTTCAGTGATTTCTGCATTCTGAATTAATTAAAGGTATGCTTTCAGAAGGTGCCCAGGATTTTGCAATGGATAGAGTGGTGGACTACAACTCTGGAGACCTGGGTGCAAATCCACAGGGTGGAGGGACTGATAATACCACTCCTTAAGTTTCTCACTTGCTGTATCTTGAAAGTCCTATTAGGGTTGCTATACTTTGTTTCTGACTTGGCAGCGTATAATATGCTTCAAGAAGGCACTGAGTAATCATCTGGACATGCTAAACGCTGAAGACAGAGTCCTACACTGCAGTGTCTGTCTTGACAGTGGGTAAATCCATTCAACCAGGAGGACAAAATGCCCACATGTCTCTCAGTTCGTACAACTGCCACAGGCCTGCAGGAGGCATCTCCTGTCAAGGACGTCCCCAAGCCCTCACCATGAACATCCCATCTTGCTCCCCAGCATCCTATGTTTTACAAGAGAGAGGTGGGGGAGGAAGAAATAGTGACTTTGCTGCATAACAAACTCTTGAGGTTTAGAAGGATGTTATAGTCTTTGACAGAATTGGGGACACATGATATGAACATATAAAGTTGCCTCATATTGGCCAGAACTGCAGCATGTTTGCAAAAGGTTTGCATGACATGCTGCAGTTAATTGATGAGGTGCTGGGGCATGTCTCAGTCACATGCCTAAGTCATGCATCTGATAACACAATTGGCATGCACCCCAAAACCTCTCACCCAGACCTTACACAAACATCAGTTGGACACAAGTCATTGATTTATGCTACTCCAGGCCTGTTCTCCCACAACTTTGATTTGGTAGTCGCTTTCCAAGGTCTTGAGGAAGCACCTTTCCAAGCACCACGACCTGAATCCTTGTAAATAGTGATATTGAAGATGGACCCTGGGAGAACCTCATCACAACACAGTGGGTCTTCCCACCAAGACTATGGGAGTGTTTGCAATTACTTGGGAGTGAGAATTCTGTTAACCTAATTAAACCCATGAGGACGTGTGAATGAATGTAGATAATATGACCTCGATGTGATATGTGGCAGTGTTGGGCTGGCTGGATAGTTCAGTGAGTTAAGTAACTGACTGCAGAGCCAGAGGTTGAGAGTTCAATTCCCCACTATGCCTCCTATGAGTAGAGCCAGCCTGTGTGGCCTTGGGCAAGCTGCACAGTCCCACGGCACCCCCAGAAGGGAATGGGAAACCACTTCTGAGTGCTACCTTGAAAACTATGAAAACGGCCGCCATAAGTCAGAATGGACCTGATACTACATAATTATTGGTAGTAACATATAGTACATGCAGCTCCTTATATGTGTACATCCACGTATAGAATGGAATACCATGTTTTCTTGAAAATAAGACAGGTCTGGGAAGCAGAGGAATGATGGGCATGGTTTCTGGAGGAGGCGCGGAGGATGGCGTACCTCCGGGACCGTTTGGACCCTTCGAGGGGGGGGACCCGCTCTGGAGAGAGGATGGAGACGAAGAGACTTATTAAGAAATGAAGAACAAGCTATCCCAAGTTATGACCCGTTCTTACCAGGACCGTGGGTTGCCCTTACGGGGCCCATTGGCACCGCAAGAGAGTTTACAAAAGGATGCCTTGAAGGAAGTTTTACTGTTGAATGATCTTACGGGGCCCATTGGCACCGCAAGAGAGGTTACAAAAGGATGCCTTAAAGGAAGTTTTACTGTTGAATAATGAAATAAATACCAGTTTGGATGTCAGTTTAAAGATGTCTCCTGTTTTATTTGAGAAAAACGCTGAGGCTACATTCGAACCCTCACATGGAGTAATTAGTTATGTAGCTTCTTATGGGTTTTGTGACGTGCATTAAACCAGATGCATTAAAATAAAATTCTCAAAACAGGAATTTGAAATATTTGGAAGCTTTTTGATAAGATTACATTAAGTGGACCACCGAGTCACAGCAGAAATATTGCAAAAGTATAATGAGTATCAGAAGAATATGAAGAAAATTGTTTCTGAAAATATACTTAGAATATTGAAGTATAAAATTACACGCAATGCTTTACTGATAGAATGTCAATAATTTATTGTAAATTATTTGAATTTATTCCAGAACAATGTGGTAAACAAGGCTATTAATAGATCTAAAGCAGCCCTATGTGTCTAAAGGGGTCTGAAGCATCCCTAACCTATTAGGATTTTCTTATTTTATGAGAACTACACTACAGTTCCTATTGGACAGAAGGCAGAGTTGACATTAAACAGGAAGACATAAAATCAGTAAGACTTGTCGGTGTCACCCCCAGTAACACAGTTAATTTTGCTGGCTGCAAAACAAACCGGTCGCCACCTGTAAACAATTCTATTTATTGGATGCTTTATTGTATTTATTTCTTAAGTTGGAGGCATACAAACGAACGTGGGAAATGCCGTTTCCACGCATGTATCTGCACACTCGTGTCGAAAACACAACGTTCGGAAAAGGCATCAGAAAGGAATGTTTCGATGCGCGGAGAAGAGCCCTCCAATTTCCGCACCTGTAGCAGTTTGGGAGCGCCGTGCTGATGCCTGCGAGGGTGGAGGCAGGGGGAGAGGATGAGGAGGAGAATGAAGTGGGGGAACCCGGCAGTTTTGCCGAGCTCAGCGCGCCCTGTCACGTCTTGGCGCCGGCTCCGCTTCCGAAGCCAAGGGCAGGGCCTAGGTCCATCCAGGACAGAGGCTCTTGCGAGCTGCAGTTCGTCGGAGTCGCCGCTAGGGCTGCGTGTGGCGCTCTATCCATCTTGTCTATATATAGCGCTCCCTTAAAGCAGCGGCAGGAGCGCGAGGGGGTATCCCTTCCCCCGTTTCGTTGACTGCGAAGAGCAGCTTCCCTCCCCCTCCGCCGCGCCGCTTTCTGCAGCTGCTGTTGCTAGTACAGTACAGTAGTAGCAGGAACGTAGCAACTCCGCCCCTGTCCCTGTAGAGGGCGCTGCTCCCCTCGCCTCTTCCATTCTACGGAAACTCCGCAAAACGGGCGGGGAAAGAGAGCGAGAGGACAAGAGAGGGTGGGCGGGGAGGTTCTCCTTTCACCAGACGTCACGTGATGCCGGAAAGCTTTTAGGGCCAAGGAATGGGGTAGAAAGGGAAAGCTCTCGCACGCGGTTTCAAGAGAAGCTCTGCCGTTTGGTCGCGCGCCTTCTGAGGGCTGCCTGCCACTAGGGGGCGCCCCCTCAGGGCAAGACGGCCAGCTGGTTGTGAGCGAGCGTTCCTTGATCGAACGTTTCGGAAAAGGAGAGAGGGAGAGAGAGAGAGCGCGCGAGTGAGTGAGTGAGTGTGACTGACTGGCTGTGAGGCTGGGAGGCAGCGGCCGTTGGTGGCGCGAGACTTTCTGCGCGCCGTGCGTGACGCGGCATTCTGAGGGAATGGGAAGGTCGGAGGAGGAGGAGTAACAACGAGGGAAAGGCGAGCAGACAGGCAAGCCAGCCAGCCAGCAAGGCGGGCAAGTGTGAGGTCTGTCTGCGTGAGGGGACGCGATGTGAACCTTCTCCCCGGCCCGGCAGGGCAGACGCGGCGGTGACGCCCCGGGGTGCGACGCGGCGGAAGGTGAGCAAGGGAGCGGCCGGCGGCGGTTCCTCTTCACTCCCTTCTCCCTTGGGCGAGCGCAACCTCTCGGAGCCGTTGCCCGTCCGGGTCTTGTCTCGGCGGCTGGCCTCGAGAGGGGAGGCCCGCGGCCCAAAGCTCTGGCTCCCTCCCGCCCTGCAGGAGTCGCCCCGTGAGGGCCAGTGAGTGAGACGGGCGGCTTATGTAACCGACGGGGGCAGGCAAGCAAGCAAGCCCGGCGCCGAACTGCTCGCCGTCTGTCTCTGTGCGTGCGTGCGTGTGAACTGTATATGTAAGGGAACATCGCGCGGGGGGGGGGCTCCCGACGGTGTTTCAGACCCAACATGCTCGCGCGACCGCACCGGGACAGGGAGGCAGTTGCAGGGAGGTGGGGACGGTGGCAGCGCAGGCGGCGGCGGCGGCGCGCCTTTGCCACCTGTGCCGAAACAGTTTGCCCGCAGGTGCCCAGCGAGGTGCTGGTGGCGGGCTCAGCTCCAGATAATCGTCTGCAACCCGCACACGTTTTGGAAGCCATGGCGGTGTCTGTAGCTTTCCATCACTGCAGCTGTCTGCAGCTTACTCTTGCTCGTTGTGAACTATAGGCGCTCGGAAATGGTGGGCAGTTTGGTTATGTTGCACGGTGTGTAACGTGAGGAAGTGAAGCTGCTAAGATTTTTAATGACACGGCGGGGAGATGGGTGTTTGCTTGTTTTTGTTTTTTACTGTGCCACTGCCGCTTCTCTCAGCTAGAACCATGCTGATATAATACTCTGGCAAAATAAACCATCGGTCTAAGATTAAAAGGGGTGGAGAGCAGCGGTCAGTGCCATATGATGATTGGTACAGGTTAGACGCAACAGGATTCCATGACAGATTTTTTTTAATCAAACAAAAGAGGATAACATGTTAATTTAAAGCAGTTGATGCACAGAATTTTCTTCTATGTGGGGTTTTGCAGAACACCTCTTCCTCAAAAGCAAAATAATTATTTTAGATGTATATGTGTTTAAGAGCTAATATGCATGTTTTGTTTTAGTTATGTATGCAAATTATCCTGTCCCCTAGGTTCAGGATGAAAAGGTCAAACAGAGGTCTCAATGTTTGGCTTTAATTGCTTAATTACTAGTAGGTGCCTAGACAAGATATTTCATATTTGCTTTGTTTACATGGAAGTAATTACTATATACATATTCAGCAGACATTTTATTTGATTCATTGTCTCTTGTGTGACAAGTTTTTTATGACATTAGTGGCTCTTTTATCACACTATATTTCAGTGAACAATAGAGGTCATTTTTCTGGAGGACAAAGAGTTTTTCATGGAACTATAACCAACTTTTATTTTCTAATATGATTATTTTAAATGCAGTTTCCTAAAATCTGCTCCCAGACCTGCAAAACAGTCTTTTTCCATGTGTAGAATATTTTTAAAATAATTATTTTCTGTTGATTAATTGTAGATGTACTGTACGTAAAAGCTGCATTGAGTAAATCATAGTATGTGCAATTGAACAGGCCCATTTCATCCAGTAGGACTTAAATCTACACCTAAAGTTTTGTCTTAGTCATGAACCTTAGTGTTGTCCCCATCATCACTGATTTTCTGTAATCTGCACTTAGAATTGTAGTTCAGTTTCCACATTTAGGGCAACATGCTTATTTGAGTATATGCCCATATTAGTGGGCCATCTGAATGATGGTTTTCATGAACATGCTGTTTTTAAAAAATTTAATTATTTGGCAGTCAATTAGGAAATCAAGATTGACCACTTGTTTACTTGAATTGTTTGTGGAAATATAGCAGGACTTTTATTTAAAGGTTGTCCTAAAAGTATTCCAGCATAAGCAGAATCTTTCTGCATAAATAATGTTGACTGGAAATGTAACAATTAAAAAACGAATTTGGACAAAGACAATTTTTGATTAAATCAGCAGTAGGGAACTTCCTTTAGATAGGTACAAGATGGCTCTTCTTCTAAATAAGTGGTTCCCAGAAGTTCTTGTACTGCAATTCCCAGAAGCCTTCACTGCCAGCTGTGTTGGCTGGGGTTTCAGGGAGCTGCAGTCCAACACCTGGGTTACTCAGCGTTAGGAACCACTGGTCTAAATCTTCAGCAGACATAGTGATGCCAGGATACATGGTCTTGCTTTTGTGTTTTCACTGGATTCACTGTACTGATCCCTGTGTTTACTTAGCTGGGAAAAGCCAGTGTCCAGTGAAGCCCTTCCATGACTTGATGATAGGCAGGTCCTTCATTGTAAGGGGGTTTTCCTTTAAGCAATGAAACCTCCTCCCTTTATAAGTACCAGGTTTAGGAGCACTGATGAAGCTGCTACGTGGGTCAGGTGAATCTGTTGTCACTGCTCTGTCCTCCATTGACAGTAAACATGAGAGCTTGGAGGTTCCATTTTTAAAGTGGTGCTATTTGGATATTTCATTTTTTAAAAATGGCTCAAAACTACTCTAGTACAAATCAAGAGCACAAATTACATGAAAGTATTGGATATTTGCTTCAGCCTTGATGTGACAAGAGTAGGTCTATTACATTCTTACTGTAAGAACTGTAAGATCTGTTAGCTGGAGCTATGTACAATATAGTGACTCATAAAGAGGAACAAATGCAGAATTGAGAAATGTTACCTCTGCATTTGTCTTACTGCTCATTATTTTTTTTAAACAGAGTTGACACAGATATCCATTCCCAGTCTCGGGGGCCAGATTCTGCTACAAACATACATGACAAAACTATTTACATACTACTGTGGCAGCAGCGGTATTACAGGACCTACCAATGTAAACAAGTGCTTCAACATCTTTCTCTTGTTCATCTTCCCATGTATAATATGCTGCCTTCTGCCAACAGTATCCTGCATTTTATATAGGACAAAGAGATCAGTGTATACCCAAAAGGATAAATAGATACAAACTGCAGTAATGAAAAACAAGTGACTGATTTCTTCAACCTTACATGAACCTCTCCTTCCAATCTTAAAGAAGCAAACATCAGAGAAGAATTAAAGAGATACTAAGACTACTAAACTATGATTCATTAGGAAGTTCCAGGCTTATCACCAGAGATTTGGGTTAGAATCATGTATTTTTATCACATGGTAGCCAAAATCCTGTCATGGGGGTTATATCTGTGGAAGAGTGAGAATATCACTGGCGGAAAGATATTTGGTAATTAAGGATTTCCTTCTTCTGTCCTGTGGCTTTTCTTACTTATGAATAATTTTGTTTTACTGTGTGGATAGGCAGGAGCCTCGGGACAGAAAGCTATAGTCTTAATTATTAAAAATATCTACATGCTTCTAACCTCTTCACCTTTCTGTGGGTATAACTTGCACATTTTTAAGGATTTTGGCCTCAGTGTACAGTATTAGAATTTCAACCTAAAAGTATTATTGGTCTTACATATTGCCAGAATTATGTATTATCAGCAGGAGTTCTGTGGATTGCCACTGTCAGTACTTTAATTTCCCTGTGACCAGTAGTATCTACACTTCCCCCCCCCCCATTTGCTGTATACACAAAATATCATTTTGGATAACATTTTGGCCATTTTGTGAAGTGGGCTGTACTTTGTCAGATCCCATGCTGTTAATATATTTATTATTAAGAACTCTTTATTTTTCTGATGCAAATGAATGACAGCTTTCTTTGGAAACTTCGTAGGAAAATGTTTCCTACCAGTAGCTTCAGAGAAATAGTTTATCCACAGATACACCAATAGATGCAGAGAATGTTGTGCTCATCTCTGCTGTACATAGTAGCCATAGGTTTATCTACCCACCATGTGAAAGAAACATATTTTGAGACAAAAACTTATGAAATCAACAGAGGGATATAGCTAAAAATGGTCTATCCTTTTAATTACTGAGCTAGTTTCCCTCTTTTACAAGAGAAAAATAAAACAGCAACTTGGGGATACTCTGAAAGGAATGGAGAACACAGAACAGTAATTTGATAGTGATATAGGTGCCCTCTAAAAATAGAGAGGAAAGCATAGAAGTCCCAAAGAAAATACTGAGTTTTGAAGCATCTATTGTCAAGAATTCATTATGTGAAATAGTTCAGTGATAAATAATGGTTTTTTTCATTGTAGGGAACATTTTTCCATGAGTATGAGAGAAATACATGAATTAGCAGTGAGCTAGATAATAATTCTCCAAGTTCAGAATAGGAATAGATAATATTAAAAGTGGCAGATTTTGAAAGGGGGCTGCTGTGCTGTCTGGAAATGTTAGGAGGTAGTACCAATATTCATAATAGCATATTATCTACGCTTCTTGTACTCTTACTGGCTTCTTTCCATAACCAAGAAACATATTTTTGATAAAATATATATAAAAGCTCCAGTTATCTCATCAAGAGACTTGATAGATTCATGCCTTGTGACAATTTTCTTTCTCAGACTAACTTTAGATTATCTAACTTTTTAGTAGTTGAATCTTATAGATACTGATTTCAGTGTTAAAACTGCCAAGATAATACTGGTCATAATCATATTAAGGGTTTGCACTACCGTAAGTGTGCTTGCGTAATTTGTGGTATAAAATTGCCACTAACTGATGTGCTGCTGTTCTTTTGGCATGTAGCATTCAATATAAGAAGCAGCCTGTCAATTGACAGCTGTTTGGTGCCATGATTTGTACATTTACAGTTATGGTGGTGTAATCCCCAATAGAATTTTGACTGTGTCTGGCAGCTTATCAAAACAAGTGTTCCATTACTGATCCAGTGTACTACAGTTCTTTGCATGTTGAATTGGAGTGCACTTGGTGCTCAGCTGTAGACATTTGGACAGCAAGAAGAACTGTTCCAAAAGGATTTTCCCTTGGGTCTCCCTGGAAATAAAAAAACACTGCCTGAGGAGACCCCCACTTCTGAAAGCTCTTTCCCTTAAGGAGTCCTTCTATGCAGCCTTGCAGTTCAGTCCAGGCTTATCACTCCCACTTTCTCTTTTCCTAGGGACTGGGCAGGGCTCCCCATTCAGTGGGGTTTCATCATGACCGGAACTAGAGAGGCTGAAAACCATCATTGTGGGTGTGCAGAAGGGGCAGAGCTGCGTGTGATGAAACCTTGCCTCCAAGTCTTCCTCTGACTTATTCCACTGCACCCTTGTCCTCCGTAGGCTCAGGATCCTAATTTTCTGAGGGTGCAGAGTCTGTGAGACTGGACAGTTCTTTTCTGCTGGGTTCTGGAAATGTCAGGTTTGTCCTCACTGAATAACTCTGCTGACAGGGATTTGACACCCATAATATTCTCTCAGAAGTCCAAATTTGTCCATGGATCCAAAGTTGTTAGGACAAGAGAACTACACACACAAATGCTGTGAAGTATGCCACCTATGTTTCCTATGCAAACGCACAGTAACCTCACTTTGGTATCATACGTGAATAGACATATCAGAGAACTTCAAAGACTTTCAACTGCTTGTTTGGCCTCCTTGTGTTACTTCCTGTGTTGATAGATATTATTGCAATCTTCCCATTCAACCCACCACAAACCAGTGTTTGTAATGTTTTGTTTTGTTTTCCTACATTGAGTCTGCTACCATTCTGCACTACCTTGTAAACATCACTCCATTGTTCTTAAATGCTAAAGATTCACTTCATATTCTGGCCATTTCCTACTATGACGATTGCAAAGTTTCACATCTCACTTCCACCACACAGAATTTTTCTGCTCTGGTGATGTCTCTATATTTGCCAGATTTATGTACTATTCTTCATTTTAAAAATCTAAATGTAGTTTCCAGTAGGGGTGTGTGTGTGTGGTCAAGTCAATTCTGACTGATGGTGACCTTTTTCAGGGTTTTCTAGGTAGGGGGAACTCAGAAATGGATTATTATTCCCTCCTAGCACATCCTGGGACAGTGCAGCTTGAGTTCTGTAGCTTAATCAGGTGCAACCAGCAGTTGAATGACAGATACCATAGAAGTCTCCTAAACCAGCATAAAAAGAGGCCTATATTCAATGATGTGTCAACTTGCAAAACTTTTTTTTACTGAAGATGCCTTATATAACTAGAAAAGGAAGGGAATTCTGTAACGAGTACCCTGAGGAAAAAAAATCAACTGTTCTCAAGGCACTTGAAACAAAACAAAAAAAAGCTTCTGGAGATAAAAATGTGGCACCTTAAATATTGTTATATTTTAATGTGAGTTTTCGTATATCAAGTCCACTCCCTTGGACATAAGAGTGAGACTGTCATACTTGGAAGTGGCATTACGACCAGATAGGGATATAGACAATTGACGAAAGTAAAAGTGGTTTGGTAAAAGAAGTATGCTGTCAGGCTGTGAACAAGTTCAAATATCAGTCTACAAGATAACAAAAGGTTAGGACTTGGTTATGTGTCGAAAATTGGCTTTAGCATGTTTGAAAATAATTTAAAAAATTCCTACTATACGACACACAAGCTTAAAAACAGATTAAAATTTTTCACAAGAGGACAAACATACCAACCCAAAAAAGTGACTATCACATGATTGTAAACTGACTTCAGAAAAACCCCAGTCATCTTCCAATTCATTTTCATAGTGCAGCCACACTCTTAGTTGATAAAAGTGACATACTGTGGGAATCAGTATAGGATTTCATACCATCATCTGTAGTTGAATCAACCAGCAGGTCTCACTCCCAAAACATCTCGAAAGGTCAGGCTGTCATACAGTATACTATGGGAGGTGAACCCAGTTATTTTATCTAAAGATCTATTGTTAATAGTGATTTGATAGTGTATTTGAAGCCTGTCCTATGTGAAAATAATTCAAGATGACGTACCTTAATTCTGATAGAAACGGGTTTATCAGATGATATTAGTTGAGTAAGCCAGCTTACAATATAAAATCAAACAATAAAACCCAGAAAAGTACATAACCGTATAATCATTACAATTATAATAAAATGAAGGGATAATAAAATAAGGGAAAATAAAAAAAGAGATCAGGTATTGACTGGAGGGAAGGCCTGGATGTATAACCATGTTTTTAATTGGGTTTTAAAGATTCTTGATGGTTCAAGTCAGAAATAAAGCCAGATTTGCTGAACACTGCCCACCTGGGGGAGAATCATAGCAAATTACAGCAACATCAAGAAAAGATGGAAGAATAGAGGAAAGCTACATATAGGTATAGTTGCACATTTTCTCTGGACAACTGGTGCCATGCAGACAAGTTTAAAAAGTGTAGATTCTGTTGACACAGAACTGAGTGATTAGCCCCACCTCCTCCCTCATTGTGTTCTAACCAGTTTCAGTGCTGAAGCTGGAAGGGGGATACGGCTGCTTGTTTACAAGCTGTACATGCAAGCAGAGATTTCCTCCTTTCAGCCTCAGCACTGAAATAGTATAGAATATGACAGAGAATGTTGGCTGGACTCTGCTGTTTTGGAGATGATCAGTGCTACTCCAGGGACAGTCGCCTCCTGAATATTTAGATTTGGAAGAAATCTGAGTTCTGTTTTGGTGCTGTGCCTCCAAGGTGCCTGGATTGTCATGGAAGCACCAAGCCAGTACAAACCCCAAGCCCTGACTCTAGCACCCCACCTGAACTTAATGGTGGAGTGTGTAGGAGGGGGTTGCCTCTGATCTTGCGTTGCATCTCAGAGGGGAGGTCTTGGGAAACATGGTTTGCCACCCAAAATGTGTGATCACCTACCTTTGTCATTTGTTCTCCCATGTTGTTGGCATTTGTGTGCTATATTTCTCCAGAGTTTTGCATTAGCTCTCACTTAAATAATTCATATTAAGAAGACATGAAGCAGAAAATATTGTAGCCTCATGTTGTGTGTCCATATATGAGTTACATTCCATCATTGAAGAAGTTTCTGTACTGAAGAAATGATATCTTCTTCATAAACATGTTTTGCATAATACATTTATTAATTTAAAGGTTTTGAAGGACCCTTTATTGCAATCAGCCGGGTAGGTGGGGCTCGTCAGCCATGGAAGGCAGCCCATCTAGGAGAAGGAAAACTCCGATTTCAAACCTCCACTGCCTTGTGGCTATATCCATTCATGGAAAAGGCTTCAGGAGTTAACCTCGAGGCAAAATCCGGAGCTGGAGTCCCGAAGGCAGCATGTGTCGTTCTGCCAACTCCTGCGACATTGCTGGAACCAGTTGTATTGGCTCTTGCCTTTCCATTGGATCATTTCAGCAATGTGGAGAGGGGGGATCTGCTGCTTGGGTAACAGCCTATCCTCCATATTACCTTACCCGGGCTTCATGCTCTGGAGAGGACACTCCTCGATTCAGAGCACGTTACCATAGTCTCTTGAGACTGAAGGATGCCTATGCTATTGCAATCAGGGTATATGTGTTCTTTGTGATGATGGGGCGGGGAAGTCAACGATTATGGGAAGACGGTTACTTTGTGCTCTCCATTCACATTTTTGTTCAAAACTATTTTGAAGTTATGGATTTATTCTGACAGGAAAAATAGGATCTGGTCTTGGGAAGGATAAGATTGTAACACTCATCATCTTTAATTCTTTCTGCTCTTACACTGTTAGTTACAATGCACTAATTGCACAAATAGTGCCAATTTGTTGTCACAGTGCTTTCTGCAATTGTGGTGCGTAACAGTAAGGTAAAATACTATTTGGTATATGGGCAAGAAACATTTAAGAACCAGGGTATACCCAAGCTATGCAGTGAAACAGGAGAAGTGCTACGGTAAAGATTTGTAGGGAATATACCCACATAGGAATTAGTATTTATGAAAAGATAGTTATTACCAGTTATATTTTGTAAATTCCTCCCAAGGTAGATATTTTTCTCTCCTATATTTGGCTTTATTTCTGAATGTAATATTTCAGATATTGTAGAAATACTAAAAGTTAATCTTTGTATCTTTCTTTTCTCCTCTCCTAATTAGAAGCCTCACTATGAAGCAAGGTGGATGGCAAAAGCGAGCAAGTAACAGAGATGGCTGGGGGCCATGGGTAAGTTCAAGTTGATAATCCTTTAACAAAAGATGAGAACGTAATTTTTTTTGTGATTTACCTCTTTTTGCTGAAAATTAGCTTTAATGTAACTGCTCTTTCTCCTCTACCCTACAATATTCACAAGGATGTTTACCTTGATCAAAGAATGAGATTTAAGTCGCATGGCTCAGTTCATCTTGTTCCTTGGGTTCAGAATTTATTTGGATCCTGAAGCAAATCTGGTATTTGTCAATTTCCAAAGTCAAGGAAAGGAACCTGAAACAGCACTTGTATTGAAGCTAGACTCTACACAACTTTAGATATTGTTTTGGGGGAGGGGTTTTAAAAATCTGGGGAAAAACTTACTGAGAAAGCAAAAGTGGCACTGTAATAGAAGCAGAAGACCCAAAACAGAAGGAGATTGATAGGGGGCTCTGTGATTGGGGTCTCCAGGAGACCTGAGAGGGAACTCATCTGCTTTTGTGATCAGTGACAATTTTGTGAGAGCAGCATGTTGGAAAATAGAGATTGTCATTTGTTTTGCTTTCAATTTCGATCCAATTGGTTGAATGTCTGTGAAAGTTGTTCCAAGTGCAGGATTTGTGTGGGGTAGGTGACCATAGGATTGGGAATAGGAGCTAAGGTGTCTAAGTTGCATGGTTTCCAACAGAAGCTGGCAGGCAGGGAGGAAAATAGTGGAAACTTTGCTGCATACTAGAGGTGAATCAGGAGCTAATGGCACTGAATTATACCCTAATCCTAGATCACAGCTCATTTTCAGGTTTTTCACTATTTAGGCATACACAATACTTAAGAATGTTCAGATATAAATCAAAGCAAGCAGGCTACAAATTGCTTCCAATTCCTAAGACAGATATTTCAGAACAAATTGAAGCAGATGGTATTCACACACCATTCAGAAGATTTTTTGATACCACTAAATGGGGATGCTTACCTTGCAAATGTGTGTTACTTACCCTGTTTCCCCCAAAATAAGACCTAACCTGAAAATAAATCCTAGTATGATTTTTCATGATGCTCATAATATAAGCCCTACTCCAAAAATAAGCCCTAGTGAAACCCCACCCTCCACCATTTGTGCAGCAACCAGAAGAAGATGAAATGACTGTATTTGAATAAATGTAGATTGTTATACATGAAAAAAATAAAATTTCCCTTGAAAATAAGCTCTACTGTGTTCTTTGGAGCAAAAATTAATATAAGACCCTGTCTTATTTTCAGGGAAACGCGGCATATCATTTTACAAGTATTACAGATTTTTCACCAAACATTAAATTGATAACAGTGTAGTATATGTGATGTGTTTTACCAGTTTCTTTTGCTCAATTTAAATTCAAGGGAGGGTATATGTCTGCCAAAGTCCAGAAACTGGAAGATCAGTTCCGTTCAGATGCAGCTATGCAACTTCAAAAAGATGGGACTTCCTCCAGTATCTTCAGTGGAGTTGCTATCTATGTCAATGGCTATACAGGTAATGTTTGTTTTTATAACAACTTTGGGGTTCTTAATGAAGACAGCTTTAGCTGAGGTAATAACAATGTAGAAGCTGTCTTTCAAAAAGGGCAGAACTGTATAGATTTCCTCCTCGCTGTTTGTTGGGAAACATACCAAGCTTCTGATGGCCTGGCTTAGCTTCCCAGCCCACTGAATGTGCTCCAGAATTTACTACAGAGAATCAAGCTAATTTCCTGAAAGCCATCGTGATCAATTGTGCGGGGGACTCCCAGATATGAAGGGTTTCTTATTATTTTATATGTCTGTGATTTTATCATGATTTTATTTGATCATATTTGTATTTTTAACAATTGTGACGGATTTTAGCTAATACAATAAACTTGAACTTGTACTACAGATAATCTACATTCAGAGTTAAAGGTGTGTGTTTATATACATTTAGTTCACTGTGGAAGCAGCTTAGCTGACTGCCCCTATGAATTGAGTTCATATTCCAAGATACTAGTTCTGTAGTATGTTCAGTTCACACATTCCTTCCTGCTGCAACTTAAGAACCAATTGGGAAAATGAAGTTGAAGAAATATTGGGTATATTTCTTCCATTTATTTTTTAATGGGAAATTAAAAAATAAATATTAAAGACTTTATTAGAGTCAACCAGTAACAGCTTAAAAAACTTACCTTGCAGAAAAAAGTATTCTCAGAAAGATACCTGTATTGAGAGCCAATATGAATTTTTAAACATAATCTGTAAATGGATTTTATAAAAGACAGGGCATTTTATTGTGTGTTGACACTTCCATTTTATCCTTAAGTATTTTTGTCAAATTATCTAGACACAGTTCTTAAATGAGAAATATTATATTAGATTTTTGACTTTGTGGTTTCTGCATTGAAACATGTAAAAAAATTTTTTTGTAACTTTGTTACAGATCCTTCAGCTGATGAGCTAAGGCAGCTAATGATGTTGCATGGGGGTCAATATCATGTATATTATTCTAGATCCCAAACAACGCACATTATTGCTACAAATCTTCCAAATGCCAAAATCAAGGAACTCAAAAGGGAAAAAGTTGTGCGACCAGAATGGATAACAGATAGGTAAATCCTGGGGAACTATGGTCATTAATTCTATTTAACTTTTACAAAAGTAGAGACTGATGTCTTCATTTTAAAAAAATATCAAATGTTGCCTTGAAAAAGTGTTGCTCCTAGTTCACAAGGTAAGCTGTTTTTTCCCCTCTGGGAGGGAACATGAAACAACACATGGGAACAGTGCTCCAGCTCTGGTTGGGTTGTGTCTTCGGTCCTCTGTGGCGTCTGGTGGCTACTCAGATTCTTCTCCTGGCTTCTTGGTTCTCAGGTTGACCTGGCTGGTGGTGGTGGTGGTGGGGAATTTGTTGAGCAGACCTGTCAGGAAGTCTCTCCTTTGGTCTGTCAGGGAACATATGACTATTCCTTTTTACACTGAGGTATTCATTTTATCATATGTATATGGTATCTCTAGGATACTACTGGTCAAATATAGTGGGAAATGACTGTAAGACATGGAATGGCCAGGCTGTCAAGTGCATAGTAACTTAATAATAGCTTTAATTATGAAAATTAATTTATAAATATGAAGTAGAATATGAATGACTAGGGGGAAAATTACTGCTAAACACTCCAATTCCAAGTTATCTTCTGAACCTGTGATGGGTTGATAATGGCAAAACTGAGCAGTGCTTCATGTTGCTCAAAATATTGTTGGAGATACATTTGTTGTATACAGATATTTTAGAGAATGGTAATCAAGATAATTAACAATATTTATAATCTTAAAATCTATCATCTTGAAAATTTTGAAAATTATATACTGTGATGTATAAATTGAAGAATGATCTGTCTATTAAATGCATCATCCGTATCTCTTAAACTTTATGTGCATTAAGTATTCTTGAATTATTTTTACTGTATTCTTTTGAAAAGAGTGGTGATTTTACTGGAATTCTATTTCAGTTTTATTCAGCATTGGGAAAACAAATGAACTACACTTAGGACAATCCCCATTGTAATAGATATGATTACACAATTTCCCAAGCATCCCAACCACATAGCATGCTAACAAGTTCCTGGTGTTTTTTAATTGGGTAATGTGATCTTTCTGTAGTTTCCTTAATTGCAGCATGTATTCACTCCTGATCCTTTGCCAAGCTCCTTGTTAGTGTACAGATTGAAATTAAAGGAAAATACATCATGGAAAAAATTAAGGGTTAGCAGAATTGTGATTTGCCAGTGGATTTCCCTAGGCCATGCATGATTACATTCATCTCCCTGCATAACAGGGACTTGGGTGCCTTTACCACATCAAAGCTCCTTAAGGAATATTCTGTTGCAGGTGAATGTTGTAGAAGAAATTGTATTTGATTCCCAGACTTCAAAATGAAACAATATTGCTTGAACAGCAATGTACCATTTAAGGATTTTCCAGAAGATTATGAGAACTGCACTAACTCTGGTACTGCCTCAGTGTTTGTGTAGATGTTTCGCAGAGACATGCAAACCAGAGAAATTGAAACGTCATGAACAATACCTTCAGTTATATAGGAATAGTCCTCAGGGTTCCAGTCTAAATTAGAGAACAATAAACTGTGATACAATCCAGTCATATGAAGGGTGAAATGAACCTGTACCTGCTGCCCACCTAACCTGGTCTAGTTGCACTGCCTAGTCCTGCTGCTTTCAGTACACTCAAAGGAGGGTATTGGGGACAGGCCTTTTACTCCTGAGAAGGTTTCCTCCCCTTCCAATATTCTTCCTCCAACATAGAGAAAGTGGTGGGGCCTGGCAATGGTGACATGATTCTAGCTCTCACTCTTTCCCTGATATATCTAGAATTGTGTGAATTGCTGAAAGAAAAAAAAGACATTCGGACAAAGCAGTTTCTTCTAATTGCTGCTGCCTTTGTTTTATTCATTTTAATTTTTTTGTTCTCTGCATCAGTACTCAAATTTTATTGATCTAAATTATGTTCAGGCATAGATGGAGCAGTATTTTCAAAGCAGATTTTTTTATTTTGTTGACATCCTTTTTATTTTTCTCTTAAGCTTCATACCTTGGATTAGGATCCAAATAACTGGTTAAAAAGCATCAGATGTAATAACTGGGGCTTCTGTTTCCCTTCTCTTACCACACTAATAAAAGGCAAACAGTTTTTGAAATAAAAGAGTTTCTAAATTATGCATTAGTGGGGATTGAAGAATGTTTCTATTCTTTGCACTGAATAAGCCCAACTCCGGGCATCCCCATTATTTATTTATTTATTTATTTCTTCTGGCTCATCAGAACTGCCCTCAGGATCCTAGGCTTAGAAATAACTTGTAATAACTTACTAGTATAGTAGCAACTATTTGCTACATAAAATAATCAGGTAGCGAAATGTTTGGGGAGGAGAGAATTCTGCCAGTAATTAGAAAGTCACAGTGAGAAATATTTTCCCCTCAGAATTTGGAGGATAATTCCCTCTACAATGGTTTAAGCACGCAATAAAACTATATAATGACTGTTTTCTCCAAAGTTCTTTATCAGCTAAAATTTTCATATTTTGTTGCAGCATAAAAGCTGGACAACTTCTTTCATACATTCCATATCAGCTTTACACAAAACAGTCAAGTATTCAGAAAGGCCTCCGGTTTAATACAATATGCAAACCTGAAGATCCGGTCCCAGGTCCTAGCAATACCTCTGTGGAGCTCAACAGGGTGTAAGTAATAATTTTGTCTAACTCAGATTAAGTTGGAGATTGACTAGAGAAATGCCCCCATTCTTTCTCGTATTTTTTGCTTCCTGTATAGTCATGTATTGTGGTCATGTGGCATATATTCTGTGATAGTACTTCATATGTTTTTTAATTGTCCCACTTTAATGGGTGAATTAGATCCGGTATGTTTGTCTACACCTCTTGAGCAGAACATATCCCCTTGTGCCTTTCTCTGCCTCCTTCCCTTTTAAAAAAATGTGTGGGTACATCTTTGTGTCAGCAAAATGCTCTTGCTGACCATGTACTGATCTGGGTAATTTCCTTCTACTTCCGTGCTTTGATACCCTCTGGTCCATGGGGTCACAAAGAGTCGGACTTAACAACTAAGCAACAACAACAAATGGAGGAGAACCCACAGCACAGTGTAGTGGCGGTCAAAAAACAGTAGGGGGACTGATGCTCCGTATTTGACAGAAGTATGCCAACACACTGACATTACCATTTGACAATCAATATTTAAAAAATTAAGGGAGTCAAATAACAGTGGATGATGGAGGTGGGACCACACACCAGATGCATAGGAAGTGAATCAGTTTTGGAGTACACACTCAATAGAATGTAGGTTGTACTGTGCGATGAAATGCAGAACAAATATAGTAGTAGCCTCCCCGCAGGCTGGATTTGATGCGGAGATGGCTTGGAGGGGGAACAAAAGAATAAATAATGGCTTTATGTCATCTGAACCAAAAAAGGGTTGAAATTCTTGAAGAGTAATTCAAAAACATTTTGCTAATGTGATCACAGCCCAACTCCTGTCATTTTATGTTGATAATGTTTGTACCTTTTGTTGTTGTTGCAAATCATCACTGGTGTTATACTTTAAAACTGAATGAACTAGATTTTATTCAAGCATTTTTACTCAGATTTTTATTCTGTTATAATCAGCATCCTCCAAATAAGTATGTTGAGGGGAAAATGCTTAATCTTGCATATTACAAAGATTTAGTGGTGTGATTCTGTGTGCATCACTGGTGGAAATCAGGACTTTTTTCCTTTCTTGGTACAGTCCTCCCATGTCAAAAATCTGCTCTGGAAAGTTTCCTAGCCTGTTCTTTTTAAACAAGTTTTGTAAGAAGAGTCCAACATTATACACTCCAGAGATTAATATCAATACATTACAATACGAAATAACAACCTCTATCAGTTCTATTTTGCAACTCTGATTGAGCTTATTCCTGGAGCATTTTTCTCTTCTCAATATGATACCATGTTGGAAATTCTTTGAAGCCTTACCAAAATCTCTTAAAATTGCTTTCCGTAGTTCTCTTGAGTGGTGTTTACTCTTCTAGAGTGGCAACTCTAACTGTTGTCCTTCTGCAGCTTCATGTAGGCAAAGTCAGAACCTTATCTCTCTCTCTGAAGTGTAAACTGGAGATACTGGAGGTGGCAATGAATAGACGATTATTGGAGTTAAAGATAGTGAAGGCAAGCAAAATAGGTATTAATGATATAGCAAGTAAGGGTGCACTTTTTAATATTTAAAAAGTTGTATAATTAAATCATGTCTTTTTGAGGAGTGATTTAAATAATGATTTACATCTGTTTTAATTTAAATCAAATTCACGCTGCTGCTGTGGCAACAATGGCTAGTAGCACAAGTTAATATCTTGTCAACATGGTCTTGCTTTTGATCTCTTTGGAAGCCACAGTTACTGACTTCAGAGTGAACACTGGTCGTCTTTTCTCCTACATTATGAGTCATAGTTGCAGACATAAAATGAATTTGCATCTTTGTTCTGCCTTTCTACTTAAAGTACCAAAATGTTTAGCAATTAGTTTTAAAAAAGGTTCAGGCATAAAATAACATCAGTCAGAGAAAGGTGGCAGATGAAACACAAAACAAACTGAACAGTTAAATTGAACACCTGCCAGATTAAGAAGTCTTGAAAAGATAATGAGGGGACAAAACAGATCTCTCAGAGCAGGGAGTTTGATAACTTGGATACAACCGTAGAAGAAGCTTTTTTTGTATTTGGACCAAATGTGGTAAGGTGAAAAGTACAGGTCTTTGTACAAGCAGGCTTAAAGGGAAGAAGACAGCACCTTTGATGTCTGGGACCCAAAATTATTGAGGGACTTAAGGCTGATCACCAACACTCTGAATTAATCCCAGAAGTGAGTTAGTAACTAATACAACTGGATTACTAATAGAATAACATGGCCTGGAGTACGAGCCATGATCAAAATGCTTGCTGCAGCATTTTGTACTATTAGCAGTTTCTTGACACATTAAAATAAAACAATATTACAGTATTTTACATTCATGGTAAATAAGGTGTGTGTCACTCAAGCCACAAGGTGCTCCTTGACCCAGTTCCATTGTAGTCAAGAGCATATTTGGCCATTTTAAGCTGTTACACCAACCTTCCCATATTTTAGTTCTTTGTAATTAAAGGATGAGAAGGTTGGTGTACTGGCTTAAAATGAACAAAGGTGCTTTTGAACACAATGGAGCTGGATCAAAGAGCACCCCTAAACCGATGAATCTGGCTTTGCGAGGAGAATATAAGGCCAGGTTAAAATGTTCTTTTCTGATCCATGTGTGTACTGTCCTATGAGCATTGTCTACATTAAGCTTTTATTCATTAGCCTACATCCAGTTCTTCACTGGTTTTCAGGCTTAGATTCCAAACTGATGCCATCTCCTAAAAAGAGATAGAAAGGAGAACTAGTAATCATTAACATGCTTGTGGCACAAATCTCAAATCTCCAGAAATCTGTTGGTGGCTTTGTACAGATATCATTTATTAGAGAATAAAATGAGAGTTTGTGCAACTAGCAGCTATAGAATCAAGCAGAAACACACACAACACATAAAATAAGGTCCATCTCTGACCGGTGTTAAAAAGAGTGATATAGTTGCTATCAAATGGTACTGCAAAGTCTAGGGAGCAGGGACAAATTTTTATATCTGACTTTCAGTTTCTATCATATGTTTTGTTGGTATCATGGGTCTTTTTCAGGGGTAGTTTTGCTTTCCTTATTTTATTCAAAAGGTAACAAAAGCAGTTGCCCCCACGGTTGCAGAATGGCATGTTCTGAGGTATTTGGAGAAAGAGAGAGACTGCTCTCATTTATAAGTGCAGTATGAAGATGATAACGAAAGAAGAAGCAGAAGCATTCTGCTACTGCTACTCCTAAAATCAGCACATGTGAAGAAAATAGCAAATAGTGCCAGAGTTTTCTGTTTCTTTTCCTAAACGCCAGCACATGGCATTTCAGGTGGACTGGTATCCTTAATATCAGCAGGTTGGGACATCTATAACTTATAATTTGCAGGTGGGTTGATGCATAAAGAATGAGTCAGACTCTTGCATTGATGCTTTCCTCTTCCTATCAGTTTGAAAACTAATAATCATTAGAGTTACATTTACACCAGTGTAGGTGGAATTCATTCAGCCAGAGGTTACTGAAACCACAGTTGGCTAATCCACATGACATACACTCAGTAATCATTTTCCAATTTCGTTTAATAGGATCTTACTTGTATGTCAGGTGGTTAGTCATTACAAACCAATTTATATGTTAATTTAAATTGCTTTCTCTTAGAGTATCTTGATTCTTCTACATTCCAAAAATCAGCAGAATCTTAAAATTGCTGGTGTTAACCTCATGCTTCTATTGCTGAAGGCTGTGTATGGTGAACTGCTTGTGTTCCCAGTTCTTAATCTAAAGGCATTTTTGCCATGTAATTCTAGCTCTGTATAGGGGTGACAGTTGAACAGAGTTTGAAACAGTAATTGAGTAAGATGAATATTGTCCATATATGCAGTGAAATATTAATGGGTCCTACTCATGTTTTGTAAGAATCAGAATGTTTCTGCTGCTTCATAGTTTAAAGAAATGTGCACATGTTGGAAGATGCTCATTTAGAGAGTTGGGAAGGTGTTCCTAAAGTGGCTACATCAGAATTTTCCTATAATGATTAAATACTGTGGGTTTTACTTCCAAATAAATATGCCCAGGATTGCAGTCAAAGTGTGGGAAATGTTGATTAAACTGTGTCTTTCTAAAGTAGTTCTGTGTTTTGAATTTCTCCATTTTAGAAATTGTCTAGTAAAGAAGTACGATAATGAAATCAAAGCCAATGGAATGAGTAGATTGAAGAAGGAAGAGGAAACTGAAGATGAGGAATTCTCAGAGTTGGAGCAGGCCTTCTCTGGTAGCAAGCAAAATGGAATTCATCATAGAGACAGCTTTTCCATTTTTAATGGAAACACTCATAGTTCCAGCAGTGCCTTAAAGACACAGGATAGCATGGTGCCTTCTGGCCACAATGTTACAAGCAGACTGTCACCAGGTCCTGTGCAAGAAGATGAAAGGAGGGAAATTGCTGACTTTAGAGACTGCTCTATGCAGCATTTTCAACAAAGCAACAAAAATACAGAACTTTTACAGAATGTGCACAGGACTATGAGTAATTCATCTTTTTCATCTTTGCACAGTAATATTAAAATAAATGGTGCTCATCATTCTACTGTTCAGGGGCCTTCAAGCACAAAAAGCACTACTTCAGTATCTGCTCCTAGTAAGGTAGATTCATCACCTCTGTCCAAATCTAGCAGCAGTTTCATTTCTGATTTTTACTCTCATTCAAGATTGCATCATATATCTACCTGGAAGTGTGAATTTACAGAATTTGTCAACACGCTGCAGCGGCGAAATAGTGCTATCTTCCCAGGAAGAGAAAAATTAAAAAAATTAAAAGCAGGGCAATCTACTGTTAATAAAACTAATTCAGGTAAATACTTGTCAAGATTGTATTAAAGGGTGTTTTCACTCATGCTATTAAGTTAAATAATTTATGTTTCAACTAATAGTATTTCCTGTTGGCTGTGATGGATAGCTTGAGTGCACAGGATAATGTGAGAGATGAAAATATAATATATCTGCTGTCTCAGGGTGCAACTACACTGATTATTTATCCCAGTTTGCATCAGATTTTGCATGGATAAAATTGAAGTGAAAACTGGCAATGACTCGGTATACAGCTAAAAATGGGGAACCCCTGTGTTTTTCATTGAGAAATTGTCTCCTTTTGTTCAGCATGTAGGAGGTGGTTCATTTTTCTCCAGTTCAGCTGGCATTGCTTTTTTCCACTTTGTGGTGGATGCGATTGTCTGATCTGTTTTAAAGGGGTGTTTGCAGGGCTGTCAGTAGGCACACTGTTGCCCCCTTGAGAGCCTGTTGTCTCCCCTCCTCCAAACAATTTTTCTTTTTCTTTTTATTATTACTAACAAAGTTAGTACTGTACCAGAAAAGTGCTGTATGAATTCAGAAATATACAAAAAATTAAAAAGAGGATAAGAAGGGATGGTGTCAGTGGAAATTGTCAGTCTTAGTCTCTTCTTTGACAACACAATACCTTCCAGCACTGTTATCTTTTCTGATTTTTAATGGATGACAGAATTCAACATATGAAACTTTCAGACTGACTTTCACATTCATGATTTTATCCTTGCTTTGGTTTCAAGAGGAAAAGACAGTTCTCAGATCCAACGAAAACTGAAGCCTTGGAGAAACTTTCTTGGAGGAACAGAAAACACCAATGTTGCATTTTTGGCCCTTTTACACACCTGTACACATACCAGCTGCTTTGCATCTTCAGCATTGGCATAAATTTACATTAACTCTTCTGACTCTTGGAAAGCACCTGATCATTATTTTTGGTATACCTCTTAAACTGTGTTTCCCATGAAGCAGTAAAAGAATAGGATAAAATTAGTCTTGAAAGTTGATGAATGTTTTTGTCTTTCAGTTCAGCATGTAAGAATAGCTATTCTGTTGTACTGTGCACTCTTGAAACCATGTGTTTTATACTGAAAAATAGTATGTGCATATGCTCTTACCTTCAAGAACATCAAGCCATATTGGAATCCCAGAAATTTGTAGTATCCTACATATACATATTTTAACAGTAGTTCAAATCGTTGTGCACAAAAAATTGAATGATAATGTGTGAATTAACAAGAATAATATAAACTTCCATGCAGCTTTCCTTAATTTTTTTGTTTGTCTATTCTAGATAACATATCCATTTTGAACTCAACCAAGCATCAGAGTTGCATAATGCATGTGGATATGGATTGCTTCTTTGTATCAGTGGGAATCCGAGACAGGCCAGACCTCAAAGGTTAGTATCCATCTCTTTTAACATTGCAGCTGAGGGGGAAAAACACTGTAGCAAGAATCCTATTAGTTATACCTGCCAGCAAACAGTGATTCCATGGTGTAATTTCCAGTGGCAGATTATTGCAAGTTAAGAAGACATTTAGGCATTTCCTATCACATTCTAGTTTTGTGATTCAGCAACTAGTCTTGTTGCATAACATAAGCAAAGTTGTAAGTGTCTGTCCGTTCCTTGTCCATAAATAAAAGAGCACATTCACCCCTGAGAATCTGCTGGGATTCTCAGAGGTGCATGGATATACATCGTGAAAATTTCACTGAGTTCTGTTTATTTACCTGTGGGGAATGGACCGAAACAACTTTGCTTGCATTACACAATAGGATTTCAGCCAGTATATGATAGGAGATGCCTCTGCTGACAATTTAACTTGTGTCATATCACTACTGAAAGTTATGATGATGAAGTTAGGCTTGCATAAATAAGCAAGTGATTTCTAGTGAAGTCTGTGAAATCTGTGTGTGTCAGCACAGCAAAATATTTAAACTTAAGACTCATACATGAGCACTGTCATATCTTATACACATTGCCATATTTTTGCTATTCAGTCATTGTATTAAAAGAATGCAGATAAAATTTCTATCTTTATTTTTCCTCCAGTGTTAAAGATATCAGCACATCTGTGTTCGTATTATCATTAATAATTAGACTGGAATACCAAAATTTGTTTTTGTTGTAATTTTTAAACACTTTTAAATGGGAAAATGTATTCAAACTTATATAGAATAAAATCACTTAAAATAATATTAAAAGAATACATAGAAATGATTAACCAGAAGACAAAAAGAAGCTTTATTTCCAGTTAAAGCTTGAGTTTGTCATTCATCAATGCCTGCAAAAAAAAATTCTTTTGAAAAAGGAATTCACTTACTATTGTAAAATATGGAGTGATCCTAGCCCTTTTTAGCCAATGAGTCTACAATGTGATTACCCAACAAAAAAGCTTATTCTGTGTCCTAGCTTATCTAATGCATGTAAATCTGAAACAGCAGAGTTGTGTTTACAGATCCCAGAATTGGAAGGCTTCTTAGAGATCACCCAGTCCAACCTCATACAGGCTCTGTAATTAAGGATTCATGTACAACATTCCTAATGCATCACCATCCAGCCTTTCTTAAATACCTTCAACTAAGGAGATTCCATCATATTATGAGTCATCCTGTTACACTATTCATGAATACTCACTGTTGAAAGGTTTCTCCTAATATTTTATCAAAATTTGCTTTGTTTTTTTATTGCTCCACAGGGAAGAATTAATACTAGTTAAGCAATAAAAAACAGGTTTGCACCATTCTTTTTTGCATGAACAGCCTTTCAGATACTTGAACACTGCCTCGTGTCACCTTTTTCATTTTCTCTTCTCTGATAAAAAATATCCTCACTTTCAATTGTTCTTCATTTGATTAGATTTCCAAGCCCCTTTCCATCCTGATTGTTCCTCTCTGTACATGCTCTAATTTGACAGTGTTCCTCTTGAAGTGGGGTGCTCAGAACTGGACAGAGTGTTCCAAATGCAGGCTGACTAGTGTGACACAGGACAGAATGATTATTTTCCAAATAATACAATGATGAGAAATCTATTGTCAACACTTGTCAGCATAATTCCATCAGTATAATTGCCAGCAGTGAATTATTAGAAGGTAAGAAATCAGTGTAGATTTTTGCTGTCACACACTAGTGTCCTGATTCAGTGTGCAAAAGCAAATGCCTACGTTGACTTCTTATGCTGGCATCATTTTTTGTTTGGATTTGGGCCAATATAAATATAAACGTAATTAATATCACAGGATCTAAAACTGTACAGTTCCAGCACTATAACTACCACAAAGGCATTTTGCATCAAAACATAAAAGCTTGAACAAAATCTTTTAAAAAATTATCTATCCCTGTTTGAATTATTGGACTATGAAGGCAGATAAATCCTCTGGGAAGGTATTTTGTAGACAACACTTCATCATAGAAATGCACTGTCATCTGTCATTTCCTCCCTAGCATCCAGTACTGCTGGGACAATGAGCAAGGTGTTTTCTGTGAAGCAAAAGGCATGGAAGGGTCCCTGTCATTAAGTAGCCACCAACTTCTTTAGGACTTTAATAGCTTATAACAAGACATTGAATTTTACTGGGTCTCTCAGTGGAGGACAATGCAAGAGATTTTATCATATCATCACTTTCTATTGCTCCCTCCAGCAACAAGACAGCAGCATTCTGAATCAGCTGTAGTTTCCACACTGCCTTCTCCAATAATCCCATACAGAGCACATTCAAATAGTTCCATCTGGTATGTGATCAGAGTATCAACCATTGAGACCAAGTTATCCTAATCCAAGAAGAGGCATAATTGGCAGACCAACCACAGCTGAGTGTAGGTGCCCTTTGCCGCTGAAGATAATTGGTACAGTATTTCTGTGAAGGAGAACTCCCTGGGTACTCATATGCTTCTTCAGATGGAACAGTACTAATTCAGATGAGGCTGCTTCCCTTATTCTTGAGTTTGTTTAAGGATAAAGGCAGGGTAAAAATATTTTAAATAAACAAACCTTCATCTTTTGATTTACCGGTTTTCATCCAAGGTGAATTTGATTGGAATCAGATTGATTTGAATCATAATATACATCATGGCTCAGAAACGTTTAATAAGATGATACTCCCCCCCCAATAGTGTGTTCTTGCTTGCTGTAAATTTCCGATGTATTTTCTGCAGTACATATTTTTTCACAATCTCCTAGTCCAGATATACCCCTACTTCCAGTAACCCACTGTTCATTGACACTTCCTGTGTCTGAAAGTGTGCAGTTTCAAAAAGAGTAAATACTTGACTGTGCTGCATAAAAATGCAGCGGAATAATAATTATATTTCTTGCTCTGAAGGGATCAGCATAATTTGAGGAAACTGCTGGAGGAAATCTTAGAGATTTTGATAAGGCTTCCAAGAATTTCCAAGCTGGAATCATGTTGAGAGGAAACAAAACTGTATGCTGTGTGATTTGTCATTTTCACATATGTATCTCTGGAGACAGAAACCTAGTTTGAAACTGCAGATTCTTCTGATGGCATCAGGAAGATTAATCTACGTAATCTATTGAGAAACTTGTAGAGCTTTGTAAAATTTAGACTTTTAAGTCCAAGAGATTTTGTACCCTGTTTATAAAACTATTTAAGATTACATGAATATTTTTTATTTTATTTTATTACATTTACTCTATACTTCACTTTTCACCTAAAAGAAAACACTCAAGGTGGCTTATGAAGGGATTCAATGTTTATAATTCCTATTTAATTATGAGGTCTTTGAGCAATAATTGGTTTTAAATTAGAACTGCTAATATTGATTTTTTTAAAACAGGCATTTTAAAAACAAAGAAAATCAAATCTGATTAAAATTTTTAAACATCTGATTCTAAACTGCATGGGAGGAAAGAATGAACTCTGCAAGACAGTGTAGCACAACTGCTAAAGGCCAGAGTAATAGTCCCCAGGACTATTGTCTGGTAATGATCCTGTGTATATGATCTGAATGGCCATAACATATCCTCTACCTTCTCTTGAGATTTGCTTGAGGAGGATGCTATGGTCAGTAGTAACAAAAGTTGTAGCAAGATTGAAAAGAGTCAACATAGTAGCCTTTCCTGTGTCTCCCAGTAAAGGTAATCTAGTAGGGTGGCCAATGCTGTTTGAAGCCATATTCAGGCCAGAAGACAGACTGAAATGGCTTCATCTAGGAATGACTGTGACTGACTTGCTACACCTTTTTGATAATTTTGCCTAGAAATACTGTAGAATATTTATGACTGGATAGTATGTTATCTATAGTCTTCAGATCCAGAGAGGCCTCTTTGGGAGGGATTTTACTACTGTCCTTTGAAAAAAGGTGCACAACACTCCCTCCTCCGGTGTATTTGACCACTACAGCCCAACATGACCCAGCTCATTCTTATAAATCAAAATAGGCAAGCGACTGAGAGAACAAGTAGTAGCTGATTGACTATTAGCATTATTAGAACCAAATGTTCTAGTTATTCATCCTTCAGAATTAAAGCACTAAGTTGATTCTTTTTTGTGCTTTTTATTTAGAACTATGTTAATATATGTGCACTCTTGATTTAAAATTTATGTTTCATAGGGAAACCAGTGGCTGTCACAAGTAATAGAGGATCAGGAAAAGCACTGTTACGTCCTGGTGCAAACCCACAGCTGGAATGGCAATATTACCAGAATAAACTCTTGAATGGCAAAGCAGGTACAAATCTGCAACTTCTTCAGATTGAAAACTAAGAAAAATGTGTTTTAATGGTTGGATAGCTTGGTGGTTTAGATATCTGGCTGCAGAGCCAGAAGTTGGGAGTTTGATTCCTCACTGTGCTTCCTGGGAAAAAGCCAGCCTATGTAATCAAGAGCAAACTGCACAATCCCAGGGCGCCCCCAGAAGAAGAGAGTGGTAAACTACTTTTGTGTATTTTCTACCTAGAAAACCCTGGAAAGGGTCACCATAAGTCAGGATTGACTTGACAGCAAACATTATTAGTAACAGGATTGTCAGTTAACAGCAGTCCCATTAATTCTGTAATGCTATGATGGTTTCTTCAGAGGAAAGTGCGACTTAATGCATGTTATTTTATATCATAATCTCACAGTTACTGGAAGAATGCAGGTAGATTTCCATTTGGAAGAAAATATTGCAGATAGTACAGAAAAAGTTTAAGCAGAGTTAATATTAATGTAAATCTGAAGGGTCTTTTTTTTTTAGGTTGGAATGAGATCAGTACATAAACTTCTAATAATGACATAGCAGTTGCATTGTAAATAGTTACAATCCATAAAGGGTACCTTTGTCATGGTAGCAGTAGTTGGTGGTTCTTACTATTACATACAGTCATGTGAAAATGAAAGTACAGTGGTGCCTCACAAGACAAGCACCCCATTTAACAACGAAATCACATTACGATGAACTTTTAGTGATCGCAAAAGCGATCGCTTTACAATGGTTTCAATGGGGGAATTTCGCTTCCCTGCTTCAAGAACCGATTCTCGCAAAACGATGATTTTCGGCCAGCTGATTGGCGGTTTCAAAATGGCCGCCGGGTTAAAAAAATGGCTCCCCCCTCTTTTCTGGGATGGATTCCTTGCTGCATGGGCAGCGAAAATGGCCGCGCTATGGAGGATCTTCACTGGATGGTGAATTTCAAGCCCATAGTAACGCATTAATCGGGTTTTAATGTGTTTCTATGGGCTTTTTTATTTCGCATTATGACGTTTTCATTCTACAGCGATTTCGCTGGAACGAATTAACGTCATTATGCAAGGCACCACTGTACACCCTTCTTTGAATTCTATGGTTTTAAGTACAGTGGGGTCTTGACTTGAGAACTTAATCCGTATTGGAAGGCGGTTCTCAAGTCAAAAATTTCGCAGGTCAAATCTGCATTTCCCGTAGGAATGCATTGAAAACCATTTGATCCGTATCTGCTCTTTTCCATCCATAGAAACTAATGGGAAGCTGCTATTCTGCCTTCGACCACTAGAGGGGGATATTTTGCTTCTTTTTCTCTTAGGTCAAGAAAGGTTCAGGGAAGGCAGGGAAAATACAGTCCAGGCAGTACCAGCAGTCTGAAGACTGTCTCCCAATCCACTCTCTAAACGCTGGGAGGAGTGAGGAAGCAGCCAGGCACCCTTTTCACTGGCCAACAGTTAACGGAAAGTTCAAATTTAGCACTTTCCCTGCCTCCCACGTGTTTTTTTTTCAGTTCTTAACTCAAATCTAAGTACGTAAGTCAAGTCAATATTTTCTTATGAGAGTGGTTCTGAAGTCAAAATGTTCTTAACTCGAGCCGTTCTTAAGTCAAGACCCCACTGTATCAGGACACAATAAAGATAATGTGCTCCTTAGCAGGTCTGAAATACAACTACAAAACATGACATACTACACCATGTCATTATTTATTTTACAAAAGTAAAACAAAAATAGAGAAGCCATGTGTGAACAACACTCACCTTATGATCAGTAGCTTGTAGAACCACCTTTAGCAGCAATAACTTTAACTAATCTGTTTCTGTATGACTTTATCAGTCTCTCACATCGTTGTGGAAGAATTTTGGCCCAGGCCCACTTGTCTTTACAACATTGCTTCAATTCATGGAGGTTTGTGGGCACAGCTCTCTTAAGGTCTCGCCATAGCATTTCAGTCGAGTTGAGGTCTGGAATTTGACCGGGCCATTGCAGCATCTTGATTCCTTTCTTTTTCAGTCATTCTGTTGTAGATTTGCTGGTGTGCTTGGGATCATTATCCTATTGCATGACCCAATTTTGGCCAAGCTTTAGCTGTAGGATAGATGGCCTCATATTTTACTCTAGAATACTTTAGTATATAGATGAGTTCTTGGTCAGCATCAATGGCTGCAAGGTGCCCAGGTCCTGTAGCCGCAAAACAAGACCAAATCATCACTCCTCCACCACTGTGCTTTACAATTGGTATGAAGTGTTTGTGCTGATATCCTGGTCTTTGGTCTTTGCTAAACATGGCACTGTGCATTGTGGCCAAACATTTCCACTTTGGTCTTGCCTGTCCAAAGTACATTGTTCCAGAAGTCTTGAGGTTTGTCCAGATGCAACTTTGCAAACCTACACCATGCTACCATGTTCTTTTTAGAGAGAAGAATTCTTCTCCTGGCAAGGCTGACAAACAAACCATACTTGTTCAGTGTTTTTCTAATTGTACTGCCATGAACTTTAACATTCCACATGCTAACTGAGGCCTGTAGAATCTGAGATGTAACTCTTGAAGGTGTTTTGCAATTTCTCTGAGCATTGCACGTTCTGACCTTGGGTGAATTTGTTTAGATGTCCACGCCTGTGAAGATTGGCAACTGTCTTGAATGTTTTCCACTTGCAAATAATTTTCCTCACTGTAGAATGATGGACTTTAAATTGATTGGAAACCCTTCTGAGATTTATGGTGAGCAGGAACTGGCAAGCCACTCCAGTATCTTTGCCAAGAAAACCCCATGAACAGAAACAAAAGGCTAAAAGATATTACGCTGGAAGATGATCCCTGAGGTCGGAAGGCGTCCAACATGGTACTGAGGAAGAGTGGAGGACAAGTACAAGTAGCTCCAGAGCTAATGAAGTGGTTGAGACAAAGCCAAAAGGACGCTCAGCTGCGGACATGCCTGGAAGTGAAAGGAAAGTCCGATGCTGCAAAGAAAAATACTGCATAGGAACCTGGAATGTAAGATCTATGAACCTTGGGAAGCTGGATGTGGTCAAGCAGGAGTTGATAAACATTGACATCTTGGGCATCAGTGAACTAAAATGGACGGGAGTGGGCGAATTCAATTGAGATGATTATCATATCTGCTATTGTGGGCAAAAATGCCGTAGAAGAAATGGAGTAGCCCTCATAGTCAACAAAATAGTGGGAAAAGCTGTACTGGGATACAATCTCAAAAATGATGGAATGATTTCAATACGAATCTAAGGCAAACCTTTCAACATCACAGTAATCTAAGTTTATGCACCAACCACCAATGCTGAAGAGGCTGAAATTTACCAATTCCATGAAGACTTGCAACACCTTCTAGAACTGACACCAAAGTGTCCTTATCGGGGACTGGAATGCTAAAATAGGGAGTCAAGAGATAGAAGGAACAACAGGTAAGTTTGGCCTTGGAGTTCAAAACGAAGCAGGGCAAGGACTAATAGAGTTTTGTTAAGAGAACAGGCTGGTCATCACAAACACTCTTTTCCAACAACACAAGAGGCGACTCTACACATGCATATCACCAGATGGGCAATGCCAAAATCAGATTGATTATTTTCTCTGCAGCCCAAGATGGAGAAGCTCTATAAAGTCAGCAAAAACAAGACCTGGAGCTGACTGTGGCTCTGATCATCAGCTCCTTATAGCAAAAGCCTTCCAAAGAATAGCAAAGAGAGACAAGGGGGCCTTCTTAAATGAACAGTGCAAAGAAATAGAGGAAAATAATAAAAAGGGAAAAACCCGAGATCTGTTCAAGATAATTGGAGAGATTAAGGGAACCTTTTGTGTAAAGATGGACATGATAAAGGACAAAAATGGTAGGGACCTCACAGCAGTAGAAGACATCAAGAAGAGGTGGCAAGAATACACGGAGGAATTACACCAGAAAGATCTGGATGTCCTGGACAACCCAGATAGTGTGGTTGGTGACCTTGAACCAGACATCCTAAAGAGTGAAGTCAAGTGGGCCTTAGAAAGCATGGCTAACAA